GTTGATCGCCAGTGATAAAATTTTCACAAATAATAAGATGCAATTTAAATTCGACCAAAAACTGGCTATTCATTTATTGAAAATAAGTACACACTACGTTTCGATCCACATTGTGGTCCTTTTCAAGTATTGTTCTTATTCAGCAATTACATTAAAAATAGAAACACGAAAGTTGTCCTGTCATATCGACAATCTGTTAGCTACAGAAAACTATCGATTTCTACTAAAAACTATCGATTTTCAAAGAAAGCTTCGAGCGTTGAGAATCCGATTTTCAGATTGAATCCGGGAACGATCGATCCGAAAGCGAGCTGAAAGGTAATCTTGCTCGGATTGGCCGCATGTAAATGACTTGTTGTCTACAGAAGAAGCAGGCCTAGGTAGTAGTAGGGCCTACGGCGAGCTAGGTCGCTAACTCTAAGGGCTCTGAACAAAGACCGGTTCTCATATGAAGGTCACTAGTTCAATGGCGTCCATATGCACGCGGGAAGCTCCTTCTCGAAGGCCGTTTCACTTTCGTCGAAGGCGACCAAAAACCGTTTCGGTCGGCAGCAACTATATATGTCTCTCTCTTTCTCTCTCTCTCTCTCTCTCTCTCTCCTACCTCCTCTCTCTGCCCGACGTCCCGCCACACGTTTTGCCACGATGCCGATCCACTTGCACTCTCGACCAGGTTCAAGGCTAACAGAGAGAGATCAAGACGGAGAATTCACTCGTTTCGAGCCGAGCCGAGGAAAGGAGAAAGCGCAACGTGCGTGTGTGCGTAGAAGTAGGTCATAGTATCACGTATACGTTGACGCGATTGTAGCTCGAAGCTACGTGTGATCCTCTTCTTAGGTCCAGCGAACGACATTTCGCTGGATAATAATAGAGAGAGTTATAAATTAGAGCGCGAAATAAATAAACAGATCGATTAAATGAGTTGTACTCTAACAAGTTGTACGACGGTGGACTCTGTTGGATTCTGGTATCGGACGCGGAAATTTGTGGATTTGGGGGATATTGTTGTCGATCGAAAAATGACTTAGATCCATTATATACTCTTCTTACATCTGCTTGTATATCAACGCGCAGCGAATGGCACGGAATCGAAGATCTCGTTTAGCACAGAGCGTGCCGGTTTCTCCTCCGGTTTGGCGTCGGTAATTGATAGCGATGAAAGTCAAAGCTGGTTTGTCACGATTCGCGCAGGGAGAAACAAAGTTTCACTTTCTTGAACGGCTCTCACATTCGCTCTCGGCGTTCGTCGGCCTCGTACAGACTTTTCATGGACCCCCGTTGATCGCGATCCGGTTTCTAAAACTCTCGCCGACGCGATTCGCTTTCGTTGGGCGATCGCCATCGGCGCTTTTTAACGGAGAACGAAAGTGGAGAATGACGTACTCTGGTCGACGAACTGTCTTCGACACCCAAGTGCTCGATAGTCGCAAACACATCATTCCTAGACTTACTTGTATACGTCTTCGAAAAATTTGATTTTATTTGAAAGTTTGGAAACGCGCTCGATAATATATTAAAATAAACAAAATAATAGGTAATAAATAATAAAATTTTATGTTGATAGAAAAAGAACAAGCCTGATCTACGAAATCAAGATCTACTCTTACATTTTAATGTAAATATTACTTATTGTCATTTAAATAAAGCTCTTTAAACTTGATGAATATCACTATCATCTATCGTGAATACATTAAGTCTAGAATGCTGTAAGGACAGAGTGAGAGACTGGTTCAAGTTCACATAGTTGCGAGGCTTTAATAGAGGTTCAAGGTTGTTGGAGAAAGCCTTCCTTGTTCACAACATCGATATACATTTACGATGCATAATAGTACATATTGTATACATGTTGAATTTAATATAAAACATTGAATATAATATAAGAAAGGACAAGAGAATTATATATATATATATATATAGAGAATTAAAAATATTTTTATAGTCTACAGATTTATTATATTTCTATATGAGCTTGTATCACGCGATTAAGAAAGATAAAAAAAGTAAAAAAATTCTGAAAATAAGAACACAATATTTTAAATCAATCCCATTATTCTCTCCTAAGTATTTTTTTACTTGCTCAGTTTATGTTCTTCCTCTCATCTTTATCCAGTCTTACTATCATCTCCGTTAATGTATCTGCCTTTCTACTTATCTATCCATATATTTTCATTTGCCCACATCTTTCTCTGGTATTCGATAACCATCTCTTCTTGAAACCCTCGGCTCTCCACTGCTCGATCTTTCTCTATTCCAACTCATGCGTGCTACAACGTGCGTCTTGACCTAATACAACAGAGTCGTGCTGAGCCATGTCACGACACGACCGCGCGTTCAGACCGGTTTGATGATTCAGGTTCATCTAGATCTAAACAGCTACGAGGCCCGGTCACGTAATACGCTACCCGCGATTCTCTCTCTTCACGTACGTACGACAATGACATGGTACTTACGTACTTCCTCGTGAGAATAGTTTTGAAATGTCGCACGAGACGCGTTCTCGTGCCCATCGAGAGTCACGGCCGGCGGATTTAAGCTCGCCTTGAACTTGATATTTGCATTAAAAAAGAGCTCTCCCTTTGTTGACCGGAATTTACAGCTAGCTATACACAACGGCAATTGATTTAAGGCAAGTGTCTGGACGTTGTCTGGGATGATTTTTAATTGTCCCCTGTTTTGATCCTATTATTTTCAATTTCAAAAAGTTACATATACCTATAGTCTCGCTATTGAAATTATTTTCGCCGAGCGGTCTCTTTAAACTGGTTCAAGGGACGCTATCGGATTTATAAATCGTACATGTATGATTGTAGAGATAAAATTAGAGAGCCGTTCCCTTTCCGCGACGCAACAACCTCGTTCCCTCATGTCGCATTCGCATCCGCTTGTTCCTTGCGGGTGTCGCAAGTTGGATGAGTCGCGTCACCGAACGAGACGCAGGGATAATAGGATCTTTCGCCGATCCTTGTCCCATGAAAGGCCTTGACCTTCGCCGGGACTGTCCTAGAACGTCCGGTGAATTTACCGTCTAGAGGGATTCTCGGTCGAAATTCAGAAGGGTTTAATGCTCACACCATTATACTTATTATGTCCCATTCTTCTGCGGCGCGACTCGAGGGGGACTCGTCTTAGAAATTACGGCTCGTCCTAAGAATAGAGAGACACGACGGATGTCGTTGCACGATGCATGTCCGGTTTAGTTCACAGTGACGAAAAGTGGAATCAGACATTAGGTACGTTTAACCCTTTAGTGGCTCCTTCGAAGCATGCTCAGTTTCAGTGTGAATCTTTTATGTGGAGTTTTGCGGTGGTTGAAAAGCGGATCTCGTTTTAACCCTAAAATACGTTCTACGATCTACATACATATCGACATACACGAATGTATGCAAATTTTATTATTTCGGCTTATGTCTGGCTCTTGTTGTCTCTGGTTAAGTATTCTATGTACCCTATTCATTGGATTATTTCTTCTTGAAATTTTTCAATATCGAATAATATATGCGTTTAGTTCGTTAAATGCGCGCGCACAATGCAAATGCAAAATTAATTATCGAAATGTTAATATACAGTAAGGACAGAAGCATCTCGCGATCTTGGGAGCGTCCTTTGCTAGATACGCCATTGCACCGAGATAGATGGATGCTTATAGCGAGTGCGTCGAAGCGGGATGCGGGGGCTGATCGATAAAAGCGGCAGTCGGGTTCACAAGCCTCATTCAAGGACAAGGCCATGTGATAGCAGACGCGCAACCGCAGCGCGCACCGAACCACCCCTGCCTATCGCTTACGCAGGGGCGGATTAATACGCAACTCGGCCCTTTCACGAATTCATCTTCAAAGAAATCTTCTCTCAACATCATTAAGGCGTGGCGCAAAAAGTGATATCTAAACGCGGAAATTTAAATCCTTCGAAAAGACTCGCTGTTAACGAGCCATTCATTTCGCATCTCAATACTTGTACCTATATTAATTTGATTTTTAAAATCATTTTAATGACTCTCACGTCAGCCTCGCAATTGAAATCTCTCCGCTGACAACGAAAATATTAGTACACTTATTTATTACACACGCATTGTCTCGCGCGTGGATTCGATAAGCTAAGGGGTTGCATCCGGGGATCGCGTCTTTCGCGCGTACGGAAGGAAGAGAGAACGGAGCGACGAGAAGGAAGGAAGGAGGGCGAGCGAAGGGCGAAGTCGGAGGGTGACCATGTGTTGCGTGGTTTGGTGTGTCGGGTTGTATCGCGCGCTTTATATACGCCGCGGATAGCACATCGGACTCGCTATAGGTCGACGAGCGTGCATGCACGCTTTTGCTTGCCGGCGGCTATAGGCTGCCCCGTAGGGACGGGAAAGAGAGGGCGAGGGTGAGCGAGAGAGAGAGGAGACCGGATCGAGGAAGAGAGGGAGAAAACACGGCGCGGCGACGCGAGAGGGAAAGAGACGACGGCGGCGCCCGCCGTGCTTATGCACCACTGAATCCGCCGCGACCGGCACACTCTCACTTTCGCCGGCGCCGATGACGGTTCTCGGCGTCGTCGGCTCGTCGCCGTCAGAGCGTTGTGCATCAGCGATCACGTATACGTTAACCACCGCTACATACGCAAGTTTGCTGCACGCGGATTTTCCGCATCCGGATGTATCCCTCCGGTTAGCACGCGAGAGGACCAAGTCTGACACCACGTGAGAAAAACGTCATCCGTAGACGTCGTGGTCGTCTCCGACGACATTACACGTCAGGCGTCTTGTTTTGACAGCGTGATCTCAGCGTGGGCTCTCGCGCGGCGGAGGGTGAAAAAGGGGGGCGGGAGGAGGGAGAGGAGGGTTGACGCTCGCCTTTGTGCTGGCGATAGACCGTAGACGCAGAGGCGGTACGGTCTCTCTCGCTCCAGCGCGCACGAGGGTGAGAGACACACGGGGAGACCGAGCGTGAGTGGGGCAGAGTGACGCGCCGGGAGGGAGCGAGAAAGTGGTGGGTGCTTTGGGTGGTAGGAGAGAAGGGAAGGTCGGCGCTGACTCGCGAGGGACGACGCGTGTGCCGAGAGAGGACTGTTGTTTTCGGCGAACTGCTAAGAAACGTTCATTCACACGATCGAAAGGCTGCGAGGCGCGTGCTCGTCGTCCTCATTTCGGTTTAGTCTCTTCATCTTGCGATCGGTATCCTTCCGCGAGCGAGAGTTCTCCTGCGGACACCTGCCACGCGCCCCCGTGAGACATTGACCGTGACACTCGGAATCATCCGGGAGTGCGCGTGAGAGAGAGAGAGAGAGAGGGACAAAGTGACTGCATGCTCGTTCGGTCGGTTCTTTTTAACGAGAAAACGATGACAGATTGCATTCGCGAGGGAAAGTGACCGAGAGTGTTCTCCAAGTTCAATTTATATAGTTGATGGATCCGGAGGTAGAGTGCCAAGTGTTGACGGAAAGTTATGACTCGTAGTGTTCTCCAGACTGAAATACCGCTCGACAGACTTACGGAGAGAGAGAAAAATGCATTCGTGACAGAGAGTGATTAGCTTATTGGCGTTTTCCAATTGGAACTCTCTGCGCTTGACCCGTTGGATTTAACCGGTGAAAGAGTGCACTGATTAAATGATCCCAGCTGTTTATAAAAATCGTTATCGTTGAAACGAGATTAGAGTGCCGGAATGTCTTTATGAGACTCGGTGAGACTGATATCAAAGTGTCTTGGTAACGTCACTTTTGGTGCATTACATTTATATACCTATATATATATATATACGTGTTACGTGAGTGAAGTGGACCCGAGACACGACTCAGTCTACGAGAGTGTTATCTTTCGCGTGATTCTCGTGTAACCCGCGATAGCGCGGGTTCCCCGTAACGAAGGTGGCTCACTCGGCTAGAGATAGGACCGCCGAATTGCAGGCGGAAGTACGCAGCGCCATAAGAGTGCTGCATGGCTGGTGCCCCCGCCCGCCCCAGGGGCACGCGCGGGGTGAAACGGTGTTGATGTCACCGCAGTCCCAGATACGCGGCAATCACGGAAGAAACAGCGGCCCGCCGCCGCCGCCACCCGCGACAGTCGTAGTCAGTTCGACATCCAGCATGAGACCGCCGCCGCCGCCGCCGCCTCCCAGAGCGAGGACCTCGAACGAGAGCAAGGGCCATCACGAGGAACCCACCAGTTCTATTCCCGATCTCGGTGAGGAGCCTCTTTGGTTTCTTTTTTTTTCTTGCCCCCATATACGTGCATTTAGATGTAAGGACCCGAAGCATCCACGCACGAGTTCTAACGAGCGTTTTTTTCTCTCTCTCTGCGCTTGAAAATTATTTTTAGCAGACTAATGAATCTTTGCTATATCAAAGATATAGGACGTATTAATTATCGAATTCTCGGCAAATTTCTGCTCTTTTGCAACTTTTTTTGAAAAATAACTTTAGGTAATTTTATGGAGGAATTTTAAAAAACTAGTATTTTAAATTGGCGATGGGAAAAGAGACCGATAATTATTAAACATTTTGCATAATGATATATGAAACATATGTGCAGTCCCGTAAGACCATACATAATGACTTTCACCATTCATCGAGACGTTGATACACATTTCGCGAATAATACACCCACGTTCGGTTTACGAGCAACGTCTTATGCAAGCGCGGCTTCTTATGCGCGACTGTTTCGTGGCACGAGTAGCGAATTCATTGGTCCATAAAAAGCGGTTTGAAAAGCGACGAGTTTCTGGGAGATCCGGACGAATTTGCATACCGCGGTGCAACGAAGGCCGTAAATTTCGAAGCATCGACTGTTTCGGACGTAGAATTCTTTTGCGCGTTCCCTCTCTTCTCTCAGACTTCGCAGAACTGTTTTATATTCCAGATGATACGACCGTGTGTTTACGTTGGTAAGGTTCATTAACGATAAGTCCCGCTAAGCACTGTTGTCTGTTCGTAATCGGACATAGAGCGAGCGAAGAAGAGCGAGGAAGAAGTTAAAGAGAGGAGATGACGCTGACGAAAAGGAGATTATGTCAAATTGGAACGACCAAAAAAATTTATGCGTTGCGAGACGAACGAGACAATAATTTTCCCGCATCATAATTTAATCCCGGAACACGGTCGGCCCGTCCTCGTAAGTGAGGTGGCAAATGATCAAGGCTGTCTGTAGCGAAAGGATTATGACGCGAGCGTATATTTTTTTTCTCTTTTTATGTTCCGCGTCTCTCGCTGTCAGCGGATGACTTGGTTCGCGAGAAAAAAAGAATCGATACGCGTATCTGCGAGATTTCGGCAAAGTTCGAGGACATCGGCGGCCGCATCGTCTACGATCTATGTTAATACGAAAAAGAAGGAGAGAGTCGGTTCTCTTTAAACCATCTTTCTAAATATAAATTTGTCGGTGACGCAGAGCGCGACCTTGACCGTGAGAAATATCGAAAAGTATTCCGAAGGACCGCCGACACGCATTGTGCAGCGAATCAACATTCTTATCTTACGCGCAGAGAACCACGTAATCGGAATCAGCCGCGTGGAAATTATACAAACTATATGCTAGAAGCGATCGACAATTTCATCTAGATAGAAGAAAATAAGACAAGTTTATTTTGTTTGAAAAATCAACTATTTCGAGAGAGATCGATGTTAACGGAAATTCAAGTTTTATCGAGAGTTAGCAAGTTATTGGAAGAATTACGCTCACGCCTTCAACTTCGCGCTTTGAGACAACTAATTAACGGCGTAACGTGACCGCGCATGGATGCGGGAATTTTGCAAATTTGATTCACGATATCTTCATTATTTATCGCTGTCGATGAATCGATGTATGACAAATAAACGGCGGCGATGTCGCGTCGTTTATTTGTAAAAATACATTGGAAGATCGTGAACGAGACTTTGCGTTATCGCAATGACAACAAGAAATTCCGTCTGATGAGGAAAACGAAAAAATACTTTGTTGAGAAAAGTGTTATCTTGCAAAATAAAAATTTACACGTATGTATATTCGTGACGTGTTTTATATTTTCGCGTGAATTGTCATGAAAAAGTTAGGGCGACAGACCTGCATAACTTACCGATGATCTAAATGAAAAATAAAAGTAATATATGTGTGCTCGAATGTTAGGAAATTTTCGGAGAGAGACAATAATTTTACAGAATAGGCGCGATTAGGCTAGGCCTTTCAGGTAGACAAGAGAAATGCAAACGATCCCGTTGTTGATCTCGAGTGGGTCAAGTCATTATGTTTTAAAATAGTCTGCATCTTATCGACGCTTTGTATTATCTCCTAACTGGAGGCCAAGGCTCACTCAGTGACGTGACGATTCAGTGTGTCATCATGTATTTCGACAGAGCTACTAATAAGAGCGAGGAAAAATGTTTTCCAGATAGAAAATATCTGAAAAGCACAAAGTTCTTTCCGAAATCTTTTTTATAAAAATTAAACATGTTATAACTATGTGTGCTTTCTTCTTGGAATTCCTCGATTATTTTTAAAAATTAAAACGCAAGTAACAACCTTTTTATTCGATTGTAGTAATACTATTTTCGGTAGAAGAACAAGTTTTGATCGGTAAATGAAGCACAATATATATTCATTGATTACCTCCAATAATCTAATATTATATGATAATAAAATTAATATTCAGTAATGTGTGATATATGAGAAAAAAATGCATTACATAAAAACTGAGCGGAACTAATCGAGCGCTAGGGACATTAATAATATCAAAGGGTGTGCATCTCGCTGCATCCCGCAACGTGTACCATGGACGCAGACACCCTTCAGCCAAGGTCTGTCTGTGTGCACGCGTGTGCGTGTCTCGCAACATGTGCGTATCAAGTGCTTACGTGTGGTATGCGCTATGATAAGAAGGGCAAATATATATTTGGGTCTGGAACCCCTATCTTCTAGGCTTCCTAGGAAAAATATGTGTTCCTTTTTAATTGATAAGCTGATAAACTTTTATCCTGTCGGATATGTGTTTTGTAATAAATTGGAAACAACACGAGATTACGAGATTTTCAATCCAAAATAAATAAAATATTGCTTCTTGTACAAAATGTGCTTGAACTTAAATAATCATTTAATACTGAAAACTGCAAAATTTTTTTATAAAATCAAATTTATTTGTCTTTGATAAAAAATATTTTATTACATTTTTTTTATTATAAAACGTTTTCCCATAACTTTTCCATCAAAATTCATTCCATCAAATATTTACAGCTGTCTTCTGTCAAGTCAGATTTCCTCATTGCTCCGATAACAAGTCAAAAGTTTAGATTTGAGTGATTACACTTTTCGTTTGATTATGATTATAAAATGATATAATATTTTTACTTTTTTATCGCCTATCTTATCGTTGTGATGAAACCAAGCAGCAATTGACAGTTGTTTGCTCTACTTTCTTTAGTTTTGCATAAGAAATTTATATGTGTAAGATTAGCTTAATTATAACTTTATTTCAATACATAATAAAATTTTATTATGTAACATTTCATTCGATTTAACTCGTGATTTGTCGTTCACAATATTTCAGAAACAATAGTCGATAGCTGCTCTCGGAATATAAAAATGTTAAATATTTCATACAAGAACCCTATTATCAATCAAAATTATTTGACAAAGAAAAATCCATTTTTATTTATAATTTTCGATATAACAATAAATTATCTAAAGCTTTAATATCAAGAGATCAAGCACATCCTATCGTTTCAATTTTCAAAGAAATTCAAAGTTTATCTTTCTGAATCAAAATATTAAACATATATAGTACACAAGATAAAATTCAATATATCCAAAGATTGTACAAAACTGTACAATTTAATTTTATTCGAATAATTGCATTCTGTTTAATTGAGTAGAAACGGAATAAAAATACGAATAATATATTGTTAAAAAAAAATAAAAAATATTAAACATATATAGTACACAAGATAAAATTCAATATATCCAAAGATTGTACAAAACTGTACAATTTAATTTTATTCGAATAATTGCATTCTGTTTAATTGAGTAGAAACGGAATAAAAATACGAATAATATATTGTTAAAAAAAAATAAAAAAATAACATTCCCTCGTGATCCGGTGTTTGTGCGAATTGTTCTTCAATTGTGTGCCTTCTCGACGCTATTACCATCCAGCTATTACGTTAGCATTTCCTCTGTCAAAGTGGATCGAAAGTGGCAGGGCATTGGCGGTAGTGGCTATTCGAAAGGTTCTCGCAATGACCCTCAGTCGCTAGAAAACAGGGTGGAATGACCCAGTCATTCCGCCTTGCGGTTGCTATTGCATGTGATGCCGCCCTCCCTCTTTCCCTTCCTCTATTCGATTCCCATTATGCGAGGGCGCATTTCTGCGAAAAGTGGGCGAGAGAGAGGTGATCGCGCGACTCCCGGACAGTCGAGACTTTCTGTCGCGCTGGCAAACTTCCGGTGAGACTCGTAGTAGGGTGAATGTACGTGCATACATACATGCGTCGCTTTAGTAATTACCTCTGCACGATAATTGCTTTCGTGTTTTCTTACCCGCTGCACGGGGGAGAAAATCAAAGGGCACGGAACTTTATTCGATCTATCTCGAGTTTGATTGCGAGCTCTTTGTTGCCCGGTTATTACCTCGAGATACCAATAAATATGCAATTGCCTCGCAATCAATTCTATTTCAATTTTAATATACAATTTTTTCAACTCATAGAAATTCAAGACTCATTCAATATCATACAATTTAACGAATGGGGACAATAATTGATATATATATATAACTAAATAAAATCTTGGAGCTTTCATCCAGCCCGAAAGTGATCTCATTTGAGCATTCTCGCGCGAAGGTGAGCAAAAACGTGTCGCGATCGCGGTCACTGCGAAGGTTGAGTTCGATGATCGACTTCTCCCTCCCCAAGTTTAAGGTCCCAGCGATCCTGCGCCGAGAGGTTCATCAACATCAGCGGCGGTGCAGCGAGTGGAGAGGGTGGAAGTACCACCCTCCGCGCGATAACCGCGTTTTTATCCCTTCCTCGTCGCGTCGTCGCATTCGAGAGATCGGTCGCCGCCGACGACGACGTAGAGGCACCCACGTCTACGACAACCACCCCCGCGATTTCCCAGGAAAGGTGGTGCTGTTCGCCGCGATGCCATTGCACTGCACTGGGTGAGGGTCATTACTCCGAGCAAGGCGAGCCGGTGACCTCGGCGCCAACGCCCGCGAT